CTCCCAACATGTTTCACATGAAATCATGAAAAGTAATTATGCAGTGTATTTCTGTGTGTGCAGGAGTATTTTTACTTTCTACCTTATACTTTAAGATAAATAAGGAGCCATACACCCAGTACCCATATACTGTATTACAGAGCCTGAAGTTTCTGAAGAGTGCCTTGTTATTATTTTATTTATTATTAATTATGAATCCCACTAGGTGGTTTTTATTGTGACCTTGCAAACTCTGAGGTCTCAGAGCTGACCGAATGCACATGTAGTAAATAGGTGAGTCTATACAATGTAAACCAAACAAGAGCTTCTCAGAGGTCGCAATAAATGACACCTCCTACAGGGCTTCAAAACTATGCAGTGTGCAGATAATTCTTTGTTTTTGACTACAGAGTAACTTCTCAGTCAATGTCACATTTGTCTCTTAAAGAAATGTCAAAATAAAACAGTATATAACATCAACCTTTCATTTTTTACTTTCTACTTGTTGTGGAGGCAGCCCGGCTGACGGTGAGTGTCCTGGTTTTTTCTCCTTTTCATCAGTTATTCTGCTTTTTCCTTGGTTTTCTCTATTCTCTGCCTGCCTCCCTGTGTCTCCTCCCCTGTGTGTGCTCTCTCTCTCTCCCTCCGCTCCTGAGCCCAGCCTACAACCTGCACCTGCACCTCAGCCACCTCGTCAGCCTGCCACACCTGCCAGTAGTCAACCTCATCCCTGCCTGTATTTCAACCCCGGTTCTCCACACCATTCTTGCTTGATCGTTGTTGCTCCATACCCGGGTTCACTCACTCTCGTCCTCCGTTCAGTCGGCTGGGCTCATCCTCCGGTCCTCTCCTCCTCGGACTTCCCCCACGGCGTCCTCCCTGTTCTCCCTTGGCCCCAGTTTTCCCTGGCCCTCTGGTCCCAGTCTCCTCGGTTCCCCATGCCTGTGTTTCCCCGGCATCCACCGCTCCCTCGACTCCAGTCCCTCACCCCCTTTTCCCAATAAAACCTGTCAAGCTGAACGTTGCATTTGGGTCCACTCTGTCCCCACACTACACCACCCATAACAGAACGATCAAGCCAACTATGGACCCAGCAACCGCCCTCCAGGAATCAGCTAGTCAGCTTTGCAGGTAGCTGTTGGAGTTGGAGGAAAAGTGGAGGGGCTCAAGTCACGTGGGCTACAAGCTGGCGCTTCTGACATTTGGCCAGGTGAAAGTCTCCCAGAGGCCGTGGCTGAGAGACTCCATACCTGAGTGGCTGGCCAGGTTTTTCCACCTCCCCGCTAGTGCCTCTAGCCCCCGGTGGACTCCTTTCCGACTGGCTAGTTGCAGGCTGGGGAGTGTCCTCCTGTCAGGCCCCTGCCGCTAGCCTGGTCCCATGCCTGCTAGCGCTGCTAGCCCCCAGCCTGTTCCCATGCCTGTGAGCGCCGCTAGCACCCTGCCTGTCCCTTGGTCCCCAGCCGGTTAGCCCCCAGTCTGGCCCTGATCCCCAACCTGCTAGCGCCGCTAGCCCCCAGCCTGTCCCTGATCCCCAGCTGGTTAGCCCCCAGTTCGGCCCCGATCCCCAGCCGGCTAGCACCGCTAGCCCCCAGCTTGTCCCTTGGCCTGCAAGCGCCGCTAGCCTCCAGCCTATCCCTCCTGATCCCCAGCCGGCTAGCCCTCAGTCTGGTCCAGATCCCCAACCTGCTGGCGCAGCTGGCCACCAGCCTGTCCCTTGTGATCCCCGGCCTGCAAGCGCCGCTAACCCTCAGCCGACCCCCGCACCTCGTATCTTGTTGGCAGATCGACCAGCTTCAGCCCCGCCGGTGGTCCGGCCGACCCACGCACCTCGTACCCTGTTGGCGAATCATCCGGCTTCAGCCCTGTCGGTGGCCGGCCTACCCCTGCTCCTCGTGCTCTCTTGGCGGATCGATCGACACCAGCCCCGTCAGTGGTCTTGCATTCATGAAAACATCAATATTAAAAGGCTACAAATGTAAAAGTAGTTTTGTATGACTTGAAATGTGTTGAGAGTTATTATAATGATAGAATCTGTTGATAAGAACCCAGTGTCATAATTTCACATCAGTAGTGTTCAGGTGTTGTGAGGAAAAAGAAATGCAGGAGCTGAAGAGCTGGAAGCTGGAGCTGTTCACATCTGGAGGGTTCTGCAATCAGCTCCTCTGGCACCTGTAAAGACAACAATGGGTAGACAGTTGAGCAGCTTCTTCCAAAGAGCCATAAAGCTACTGAACTCTGAGATCGCCTCAGCATGATAACCTCTCTGGCATGTGGCAGTAATTAGGGGTGGCAATGTGAAATACACCGTTTCCTAATATGTGCAATATCACTGTGCAACAATAACTACTCAAGTCAGATCTTATTGAACGTTTATTGTAAGGATCTTATTTTATATTTCTTATTGAACTGTACTACCTTTTTTGGTAAATTCTAACCCACCAAACAAACTCAACAACAAACTGTGCGGCTCTCACACACCTAATTTCTCGCCTTAACTAAACCATCGCCCTAGTTACAGCCCAGCTACCTGTCTGCAGGCATAACGTGTATTATATGCTGGTAAAAAAGGTGGATGTAAATCTCTGCAGGTAGCCTACAACAGCTGTTCTGCCGAATTATGCATCCACCTCTTAAGATCCTTATCAGAAACATCGCTGATCAAACGCAATTATCACATCAGATTGTTTGCTGAATCTCAAGGATGTAAATCTCTGCAGGTAGCCTACAACAGCTGTTCTGCCAAATTATGCATCCACCTCTTAAGATCCTTATCAGAAACATCGCTGATCAAACGCAATTATCACATCAGATTGTTTGCTGAATCTCAAGGAATGCTACATCTACTAAGTGTAATAACTTATTGATGACTGCCTTTAATATGTACTTAGAATCAATCATCCCCACTGATGAACCCCACAAAGAATAGTATAACGTTATCGTTTTTAAACAGTAATGTTACACAGGGAGGTGCACAGCTCTCCTCGAGAGACAGCTAGCTCAAATAGTGGCATTGGTGCTCCTCAGTGTGACAGTTTCAGGCAGAACTCCGCAGCCGCTCCCCCCTGGGCTCTCTGCCTTTAAACCCTTTGTGTCCATCGGGATCAGGTGCAGCCACTTATAATAGTATCTGACTAGTATCTAACTGATAAATGATTCCGTTACAGGATGTAGCTAAATCTCACATCGCCCATCAGTAAAAGTTACCGTTAACATAACGGCAGCTAACTGAGAGCTGAGCCTTTAATTACAACTTCACACAGACGCCTTTTCTTCAAAGCATTATCACCCTAATGTCTAACACTAAAGTTAATCTAATGCATTTTGGCTTCTCCCTTCTTGCTGACTTGTCTTTGACTCATTAAAAGCTGCGGTTAGAACACACTAACTTACTTAACGTTGCTTACACTAATGGCTAATTAGCGTAACGAGCTAACGTTAAGCTAACAAGCTATATGCCGACAGCGATACCTGTTAAATGTTAACACATAAATAAAATACAGGAATTTGACTCACCAAGTAGGACACGGATTTCCTGGAGGTTCTCTCTCCAATGAACTGCACAGCCTGCCATTATTCCGAGTGCTAACAGTGGCAGCGGCTAATGGCGCCTGTCAATCAAAGCGGTCACGCCCCTAATAATGCAGAACTTGAAGGCTTAATATAATTTAAACAGGTGAGTTATAAAAAAGTTCACCCCCCTCACAGTTGTCACGAAGGGCAAACTTAGCAATATGCACTAAAACCATTTTTTGAACCAGGCTGTAAACATGTTTTATTCTGCTGTAAATTTGGGCTTTTTAACATGGGGGTCAATGGAGATTGACTCCCTTCTGCAGCCAGCCTCAAGTGGCCACTCGATGAATTGCAGTTTCAGATACTTACGCATTGGTATCGGAAGTGAGAGCCGGAGGTTGCCGCTTGGTCGTGAACTAATCAATTCTGTTTCCTTTGCTGCCTGCTAACCACAGCCCTGTAGCCAATCTGTCACGTGACAAATGAACGACTCAAACCCAGACACGCACAGATGAGAGTCATGAACTAATCAATACTGTTTCCTGTGCTGACGGAGCCCATGCTGCTGCCGTGTGATGGGTAAACGTAAGAGTCCAAGACTATACTCGTTCCTCCTGAGTCACATACAAGATTAGGAACGAAACGTTCTTTGAACGACACAACACTACTTGGGATCAAAGAGGACAAGTTAGCAATTAATACTGTGACATAAAAAAGGCCTATTTGTTTTTAATTACAAACTTGATTTGTGATTGCAGTGCAATAAATATGTCTCAAAACCATTTCTTTTTTTTTTGCTTTCATTAAAAACACACAATACCTTCATAATCGCATACCTCTTGTAAGAGCTGCTATTATTTTTTGTTTCTTTTAATCCTCACATTAACACAGAATTACAGTTAAGTTAAACAAAAGGGGGAAAAACAAAAGGTCTAACACCTCAAACATCCCAACGTACACATTCAATGTGTTTTCCTGCTGTTTCATGCAGGCGTGTGTGTGTGTATATATGAATTGACAATGGTCCATTTTGTATTTTAAAATTTCCTCTTCTAATTACAGCAAGAGGTTGAACAGTACCGAAGAAGCAGAGAAGTTAAGTCTCAAAGGCAGAGACTGCCCCAAACCAATTGCAAAATTCCATGAAGCTGCATTTCCAAGTGAGTAGAAATTTATACTCCACCACACAAATAATCCTGAACAGTCCTTTGCCTCTTTGCTGAAATATGGTAATTATTTCAACATACTGTAATAAAAACGTGTTGTTTAATGTCAGTAGTTAGCTATCTAGCATCTTTAATACACTAAACGTTCCTACCTTCAGAGTTTCTTTAATAGCCTTTCTCAAACTTAAAATGAGCTATCTGATGTTGGCTAGCTGAAAGTAATTTCATTCAGTCACTATAAAATGTCATATTTTATCTAATTGTTAGCTAGCTGTAGGCATGAGCAGTGAAACTGAGGATTAGTTATTGTAGAGATAAATTTTGACATCAAAATAAGATATATTATTTTCCAAGTTCCTTTAATGAGCAGACAAGATTCATCAAAACATCTCTAAAAAACAAAACTAAGACTGTTGCGTAACTGACATAAATGAACTGAAAGCAGTTAATCACAGAAAAATCAGTTAAGATCAGAGTTAAAATTGAATATGAATTTGGGAAATAAAGAATAAAATGTGACTACTAGATGCTCTTCAAGATGGACTATTTACAGAAATACTCACACAGTTATAGAAAACACTTTATATTTATACTATCATACTTTATGTTTGACTGTAACAAAGAAAAGCATTAAGCAGATGTTTTCCCATCATTTGTCAGTACATCAGGGAGGCAAGGTTAATGTTATGAAACAAGTTGGTGATTAGTTTTTTAGTGAACATTAATTGAGTGCCTGTGACGGGACAGGACTCTGGTCACCAGCATGAATGTCAGACGCGTTACAACCCATCCACCACCCCGACCTCCCCACATATACTCACTTTACACCTCACTATCTAAAGAGCACAATGTTTTCTGCATTGGCACTAGATATTGGCATTGGATATTAATTGTTTACTGCAGAAGGGTCCAATTGGATGTAACTTCAGCAGCAGCTCATAGGCTTGTGATGAAAAGGTTGCAGATCATGGTGAGGTCACAGGATCACAATAAGGTGAGTCTAGCTCAGCCAGCAACACAAATACATATCAGTCTTTACATTCAAAGCAGTGAACCAAGCTGAATATTTCTACAGTTATGTTTGTTAATGAGACACTTTGTTTATACAGCAGCTTGCTTAGCATTATGTTAGTGTTGTCTTGTAGGTTTGGATGCTGAGTTATACAGGCAGTCTCTTCTCACAGATCCAGAAGTTTTGAAGATTACACGATTCATCATTCCAGTTGTTGTCCAAATTGGAGCTTATTATTTTTGTGCAGTTTCTATCTTTTCCACCACCTGGCTGACCTTTGGCCCAGAAGCTGAAACCCCAAACCAAGAAATTTACACACCAGGAAGCATTTCATAGACAGCAACACTTTTAAATTTCAACCCAACATCAACACAAAATAAAAATGTTTCAGTTTTACAGATTGATATATTTATCTATAAAAATATATATATAAGGTCTAATCAGGTGTGTAATTTGACTGAAAGAAGCTATAAGTCTTAGGGTGTTTATCAGTAAAACTATATAGTCAGATGTCATTAAATCACGATTAGGCCCTTGTGTCATCTTGTTTTCAAAGGGGTCCCAAAATGTTATATTGAGAGGTTAGTGGGTTATTATTACACAAATGAACACAAGATTTAACTAATGTCATTAATCTAACACAAGGCACAATGTTTGATTTCATTATAACGACATTATGCATCATGCTTTTTTGTACCGTGATTGAAAAACATCAGTGTGCTGTTTGGTTCTCTTAAGACAATGCTAGTTAATGTCAGTGAATTTTGTGTTTTTGGAATGAGCAAATATGCAAAAACATTTCTATAAATATTTTAAATAATTATTGTTCCAGTTAGAAAAATCCCTTTGTAAAGCAATTTCATCAAGGTTTAAAACATCAAGATATTTTAGAGCCAGACACAGTTTTACTGTATTGAGCTGGAAATGAGCACACATGAGCCAGTGGCCTGGACAGGTTGTGTTTTGAAGTGGCAGAACTAAAAGGCAACAATTTTCCAGTTTAATTAACTCCTTGTGGAAAATTGAACAAAATGCCATAGTGACAGCAAGACTATCTGTATCAGCACGAATGGTTTTAACTATATGGTAAACATTCACAGTCCTGCTCTGTGTATCTCATGGTAATGACATCCAACATGTGTGAGTGCACAGTTGTAAACTTTCACAGTCAATAACAACTGTCCAGTCAATAAAAACACTGGTAAAAAAATAAGAAGGTGCACTGACAGAGAAAATCAAAGTAATGTGTGAACCTTGTGGTCGGCAAAGTCCCATCCACCCATTTCCATGTCACCTCTTTAACTTTGTTGGTCAGTCCAATCCATGTGAGCCTCTTGAATTGACTTGAAAAATTCTTGTTGACAGAGAAAAACAGTCATCAATTCATGACATATTCATTCAGTTTTTCACTCTCTCTCTCTCTCTCACACAGACAAACACGCACGCACGCGCAGACAGACACATACCTGTTCTTCTTTGCTGTTGATAATCACCAGGTCTGCCCCTCTTTGCAGACAGTCATCTCTACTGTCTTGCCAGGACTTCTTCAGTAAAGAAATGTAATAGAAACTCATGTTGAAATACACCCATCCTAGTTGGTCACAATCTGTGTCAAATAAAAAAAAAACAAAAAAAAAACAATAATCTTAAAAACCTCCAAAATAATTTCTCTTAGGACAACAAAGGGCAGAGATAATCCCCATGTTTATCTCCATCCATCCATCCATCCATCCATTTTCTTCGCCTTATACGGGGCCGGATCATGGTGGCAGCAGGCTAAGCAGGTGGTCCAGACATCCATCTCCCCAGCAAGGATTTCCAGCTCCCCCAGGACGATCCTGAGGCATTCCCGAGCCAGGTAAGATCTAAAATCTCCCCCAGGTGCTCTGGGTCTACGCTGTGGTATTCTACCAGTTGGATGAGCCCGGAAAACCTCCAAAGGAGGACGCCCAGGCAACATCTGGATCAGATGCCCAAACCACCTCAACTGGCTCCTTTTGAAAATTTTTTTAACTTTTCTAAAAAAAATGGTATGCTGATTATTTGGTGACATTTTAATGCATTAGCTGACCTTTCTTGAATCTAGTCAATAGTGATATTTTATGTAGCCACCTTTTAGTTAATGTTTATTGAAAGATAATAGCTAGTTTAATTCTAATTGTAGTTAATTTACAAGGTGACAACGCGAGCTGAGTGGAGGCACACTGGATATAAATCTGTGTCCGGCTTTTCCTTTTTCCGTCCCTCTGGACACTGGATGTGACATTTTTGATTTTAACAATGACAATTTCACGATCATGCTGACTTTATTTGTTTACCTCGCGTTTATGCCGCTGTCATGCCAGTATTGCTGCATACACCGTTCATTTGCAATGGGAGTCTGTGATCTTCCATCGTGGGCAAATCCTGACTAACTTCACCACAGATCAACTTCTCAACGTGCTAATAATTGATCATATTAAGACCGTCTTCCCTCATGCCTTGCTGGTGTTTGAAACAGCTATTTCTTACGGCTGCCCAAGGACTTCCTCCCATCACAAATCTTCTTTTAATGTTAAAAAGTCCCTTTCACGAACATTGATTTTATTGCTTTTATTTGTCTTTGGCAATGTTAATGTAAACCCGGGCCCCCTGTCTGATTCAGTAAACTTACATCATCTCTCAACCTCTCTCCCTACTGAATTTGCTAATAGACATGGAATTGGTTTTCTACATATCAACGCTAGAAGTTTATTACCCAAACTGGATTTATTGAAAACGTGGTTCATGTCAGCTAATCCAGATACTGTTGTGATTTCTGAAACTTAAACCCTCTGTCCCTGATGATGTTATAGGTGTTGATGGTTACAATGTTTACAGAACAGATCGGAAAGGGCATGCAGGTGGTGTAGTTATTTATGTATCTCAAAAATTTCCTATCTGTTGTCTGTTTTACTTTCTCAGTCAATCCCAAGACAGTTTGAACTTATTGCCTTAGACATTAAGGTTGCAAATGCTCCATTTACAATTATTTGTTGCTACAGGCCCCCCTCTACTGTTAATGAAACATTGTCGAAGTGTTGTCTAAATTAAATAATTTGGAAATTATTTTATTTGGTGATTTAAATTGGGATTGGTTCAGTGACAAATCAGAGAATTTCAAGCTGGCTTGTAATTCAATAACTTATTGACAGCCCCACCAGACTCAATCCATCTAAGCTTAACAGTGACACCCTGTTAGATGTCATTCTCACCAACAGGGCTCATAAGTACACAGCAATAGGTGTGTTCACGAATAACTTGAGCGACCATTGTGTAATTGGATGTGTGAGAAACACTAAAATACCTAAACTTACGGGTCTCACTGTTTCAAGACGCTATTTTAAACTCAGAGCAGGCCTTTTTATCTGACTTGGCAAGACTAAATTGGGATTGTGTTGCATTGATTCCTACTGTAGATGAAGCTGTAGCTTTTTTTCAGCAACAGTTTCTATCGATTGCAAATAAACATGCCCCTTTCAAAAAGCTCAGAACAAAGAATAGAGATAATCCTTGGTTTTCTCAGGAACTAGCCCAGTTAATTCAATCAAGAAATAAACAGTGGTCCCTTGCAAGGAGGACCAAAAGTACTGTAGACTGGCAACACTTCAGAACTTTGAGAAATCAATGTACTTCTGCCATTCGGACCTCTAAATCAAATTATTACCTTACCTCAGCTAATGATAATTTTAACAATCCATTCAAATTCTGGAAAACAATCAAATTATTACAGAATAAAAAGGCAGCAGCAATTCAATATTGGAAATGTAACTTTCACAGATAAAAGTGATATATTAAATGTGTAGCATGACTACTTTGATCTATTAAAATTTATGAGAATTAATACAAAATTATGAATTTTAATATTCAGAGAATATTCATTCATAAAGCTCTCGTTTCGCGGGGCACCACTGGAGATTTAATTCACCCAGAGTCTCCGGACCTCTGGGTAGCGTTTTTAATAATTATACAATTATTCACTAGTGATCAGTTAGTTAATAATCGCTCAATTATCTTAAATCAGTCAGTCTCATATTGAAGGGATAAATTCTCGTGGCAGGGACTTGGAGTTAGGCAACATACACACAATTCCTTTGATTACAGTGAAATTTATTAAGGTGAATATAAAAATGCGGTCAAATATACATCAAAGAAATAAACAATGGCTGAGAATGTGGGGTTCTATTGTAGGGAGGATTTGACTCATACGGCGGAAGAGAACTAATGAAAGTAGTTAGATGATACTAACTCGATTAAATTTGTCCAGCACAGAGTTGAACCAACTATGTGTAAGTTCAAAATTAGCCTAGTTTGAACGTAATTTCTAGCTTAAGTCGGAGTTTACGTGCTACTAACGTTTTAAGGGTTGCACCAGCTGAAATACGTCCAACGTAGACATAAGTTACAACTTAAATCTTACACCTAGTCCTTAATAGGTGTAAAGTCCTCCATAAAATAGTCAAGTGTGTTGTCATGGTGCATCATTTTGAAAGGGGGGGGGTGACTGGGATCAGGAGGAGCAAATTATACCGGGCTCTTCTGCGTAAACGAGCACACACAGCCTGGATGACAGCTCATTTCAGGTTAATGAAGCAAAATACAGATTACAGACTGGTTAAGTTATGAATCGAAAATGTAGCGAAATTAAGAGTAGATTACTAGCCCAAAGAAAATATTGAATTAAAGAGTAAAAATATAAATAATAAAGGAACGTGAAAAGGCAATGACTTATTTTTATTTATTTATTTTGCAAATTTGCGTTACTTGTAACAAGTTACTACCCACCCTGCTGCAGGCGCCCTCACTGCTGTCTTCAGGTAGGTTGTTATAACAGCAGCACAGAGGAAAAGTCTGTAATATTGAGGCACTTAGCTGAACCTGCCTCCAGCAAACTCGTATTTTTTAATCCCGTAACTTTTCAGCATCTCCTTTACGTTGTGTCGGATGTTTTCTATAGGCCTAACTTACATGATTTTTGTCCACGTTTCAACCGTTTAATTATGTCTGATGTGGAGTGATTGATTGACTAGCCACTCATAGTAAACCTTATTGCCTAGCCAACTCCGAAATCGCTGGAAAAAAGTGGGGGGGTGGGACAAAACATAGATTTTGAAATATGAGGGGGATAATGGCTCCTACGCGTATATAATTATAATGTTACAATTTCATCTGCCCATTATACTTTACCGTTCGTTACGGGCACCGTTAAATTACGTCTATGTTGTAGTTAACGGTTTTACCACTCGATGTCACTGTGAGACTAGCTGTAGATTAAGGTTTCATAGTTATCACCTAATCATAATTATTTGTCCTTGTATACGTACCTTTTTGTTGGTGTTTTGTTGCTATTTTTAGCCATTAGCCTCTTCAGTATTGCAAAATGTTGAAAGAGAGAGAGACAAACAGGCTGCGCGAGTTTAAGGACTAAAGATAATGGATTAACAGACTATTGGACATCACTGAACGCAGAATGCAGGGTTTTGGTCTTACTGCTTGTCACTTCTCCCAGCCGGGTTGCTGGTAACATTAGGCGGCCTCACGCTGGTGGAGTTCCGTGCGTTCTCGGTTAGGACAGCTTAAAGCCGTCGGCCAATCGCTTTCTCTGCCAGGGAATTGCTCCGGAGGTTCGTCTTTTGTCGGCTTACTGAAGAAACTCGCAGTGGGGGCCTTTCCAACCCTGGTCCGGGTCAGAGGTTTGGTCGTCCTTTGTTACTGCTGGTGGGACCACGTTATTATGCATTTGTAGCGCCTCCTAGTGGTCGATTTGAATGAGACTTGCAGTGTATGTGTGAGGTGCTTATGTAGACATATCCTGGAAGTTCTGTGTTGATTGAACAAACAATATGCATTTTGTAGCCTGTTTTGCGTTTTATCCCCTGCAGTTTGTTTGCATTTATAGCGCCCCCTAGCGGTCGATTTCAATGAAACTTTCAGGGTATGTTTCTGGCAATCATGTGGACATATTCTGTGAGTTTTACGACGATTGGACCAACGGTTGCGGAGTTTTGTCTATTTATGTCCTAAACCAAGCCCCTTTACATGGTTATTGATCAATATCTTGAAAACAAAAGGAGCTATCAACAAGCTTTATAAAACTTTATATGTGTCAAGTCCAGTGATGATCCAGAGAAAGTTTGGTGGCAATCGGAGCAACTGTGTAGGAGGAGATGTAAAAAATGTGTTTTTCAAAAAATTCAAAATGGCGGAAAAATTTTATAGGCGGACCTTAATAGTCCTTGAGGCTTTTTTGTAGAGCACATTGAGCTGCACCTGTGTGAGAAATTTCAAGTCAATTGGACTTCCGGCGCAGCAGACAACAAATAATAATAATAATAATAACTAAAACATGCAAACATACGCGGTATGAACCCTAGTAACTAAAACACACAAACATAGAAGGGTTCTACCGCTACGAGGTATGAACCCTAATAAAAAGCAAGTAAAGTTGCTGGGAACGAGGGAAAGCTGAGGTCGCGGCGCTTCGCACGTGTGGCTGGAAAATGAACAAAATCCTTCGCTGTGCCGAGTCGAACTTCTTAGGGCGTTGCCGGGAGAGAGAGCGCACTGGGCACGTGACGAAGTGCAGTT